TGGCTGAGGATAGATGCCATCGCAATCCATTTCTGAACGGCTTTCAATCGCTCGCCGGGCGGAGTCGTCGAGAGCATTGAAGCCGAACGGTGATAAGGAATAGCTAATTCTCCATCTTTACTATCACCCGAATGAAGAAAGCGACACTCATAGAAGATTCCCAAGTTTCTCAAGTACAGAGCTTTATTATGATGACTATCCGGCGTCAAATTGACTGCTTGATGCTGCCCGGAAATTGCGTCTTCAAGGTCGGAGATATTTTTGAGTCGTTTAAAGCGTAGTGAAAGACCCACTCCAAGATTTGAAAGATACATGGGCAGGCTAGGGTGACCGTTTGGTGTAAGACTAACCGCCGAATGTGTATGTGAAATTGCTTTATCCAGATCCGCTATATCTTCAAGCCGATCGAATCGGCTCTGCAAAGCCATTGCTAGATTGCTTAGATACATACTTCGATGAGAATGGACAATGGGAGTGAGATCGACCGCCGCTTCCAGATGCACAATCGCCTCCTCAATATCAGCAAGTGATCCAAGGGCATCAAATCGAATTTTAAGAGAGTTGGCAAGGCTGTTCAGATATAAAGGCCTGTCCGGATGATTATTCGATGCTAAGTCGACTGCTGCCTGGTTCTGTTCAATTGCGGCATCAATATCTGCAAAATTTTGAAGATGATTAAAGCGGTATACAAGAGCATTTCCGAGATTACTCAGGCAAGCCGGCTTGTTTGGGTGAACATTCGCAATGAGGTCTCGTGCCATCTGTATATGGGCGACTGCTTTATCCAGATCCATAAGATCTCCACGATGTTCGAATCGATCTGTAAGGCAAATTCCGAGATTCAATAGAAGCATATACTTGTCAGGGTGATTACTGTGCAAGAGACCGACCATAGCCTGTAGCTGCTCAACTGCACGATCTAGGTCTTGTAAGTCTCCGAATTGATCGAAGCGGACTCTCAGAGAGTTCGAAAGACCATTCACGTAGACGTGTTTCTCAACATTGCCGTCTGAGATTGAATCTAATGCCGTTTGATTATATTCTATCGCATCATCGATGTCTGTGCGGTCTCCAAGCTGCTCGAACCGCTCGAGAAGCGAGGTTCCAAGGTTCTTTAAGAACATAGCCTTTTCTGGGCGACCAGCTGGCAGGAGATCGACTGCCTTCGTGAATTTAACGATTGAATTATTAAGATCTGCGAGATTTCCATGGCGCCTGAATCGCATCAGATAGGAAGCTCCAAGGTTCCCTAAATACCTGGGCTTAAGCGCATGACCTTCTGGAGTTGAATCCACTGCCTTTTGTTCATGTATGATCGCATTGTTAATATCCATCAAGTTTCCGGTTTGCTCGAAACGTAGGCTGAAGGATCGTGCGAGGCTGCTCAAGCATAGGGTGCTGTCAGGGTGATCGTCCGGAAAAAGACAAATTGCAGTTTCTAGTCGGGAGATCGACTCATGTAAGTCTTCAATGTTTCCGAGATGCTTGAAGCGACTGAGAAGAGCTTCACCAAGATTGACCAAATGCGCTGCCTGGCTAGCATGGCCATCTGGGAAAAGGCTTAGGGCTGCTTGTAAGTTCTTGACTGCAGCATTTATGTCCTCTTCATTCCCAAGATGCCTAAAGCGAGTCGAAAGGGATGATCCAAGGTGACCCAAATATTCGGCTTTACGAGGATCGTCCTCTGAAATAAGCCGAACTGCTTTCTGTAGCCACATCACCGATTTATTCATATCCGAAAGGTCACCATTCTGCTCAACGCGAAGAGAAAGATAAGTACCAAGATTGGCCATATACATGGGATTGGAGCGACCACTGGGTAAGAGGTTGATTGCCTCCATTTGTTCGATCGCTTTATTGAGATATACAATGCTCCCATGACGCTTGAAGCGATTAAGAAAAAGGATTCCGAGAATATTCATGACCGGAAGCTTGGCGGGATGTCCATCTGGTGCCAAATCGTCCGCTCTTTGCAGTTGCCCATACGCATTTTCAAAGTCCTCGAGGCGACCATACTCAGTAAAACGGCGTGTCATGAGCAGTCCAAGATTGCATAAGACGATTGGTAGGTCTGGATCGGTTTTTTCGCACATCCCCAATGCAAGCTCCAGTTGTGAAATTCCTCGTTCGACACGTTCCACGTTTCCATCGACTTGAAACTTTTCATCTTCAGCCACAGATAATTTGATTATCTCTTGAATTTTCTTTCTGTCTTGCGATAGTGGATCTGCTGGCCCTTGAATTTCTTCTATAGTTGTTACCGCAACGTTAGCTTTTAGAGTCAACTTCGGCCGATTATCCTCGGATATAAATGGTATCTCTGTTCTAATGCT